TATATATATATATATATATATATATATATCAAAAACTTTGCATTTGCCTCCAAGCAAAATGTAACATCTCGCAAATTGAAAGAACTAGAAGGAGCTAGAACTAGAAAAAGTAATTTTTGGAAATAATAAAAATCTGGAAAATTGGTGAAGTTAAGTTTGAGTTTTTGGTCAACTTCAAACGACCATAACTCCTATCTCAGGATGACATAGGTGTGTTTCCAGAAATCGTCGAAAAGATCTTGGAATAATCTTTCCAACGCCGCCGAGTTTGCGCGATTCTGAGTTCGTATGAGTGAGTTGTGCCCATTGGAAGTTGGGCTATTCAAATAAGGAAAGTCCAATCCGGATTTTAGAAGGGCATTATGGTCTTTTCACCGCCCAATTAAGTAATTTCGTTTTTGGTAATTAAGTTGGGGTCTAAACTAATTGGATTCAGTTTACGCTTTTGAGAAACAAGTTAGGGTTTTGAGAGAAGAGAAAAGAAGAGGAGAAAAGAGGAGAAGGAGCAAGGAATCATCAAGTTCTTGAAGCTAGGCTCGTGGAATTGGTCAAGGGGTGATCCCTACGAGGTATGTGAGTCTTTCATAGTGTTGGGTTCGTTCATCCACGTGCCAATCATGTTTATTTCAGTGAAGTTTGTTCTAGAAAGTTGAAAGTTGATGAATCTTGAATGGTGTTTTTGAAATTGGCCTTCGTTCTTGAGTTGGGTTGAGATTGAGGAGTTCCTTGAGGTTAAAATGTTGTTTCCTTGAGTTTTTTGAGTAAGATTCTTGTGTATACATACTGGGTATCTGAATCTAAAGGGAATTTGAGAAAAAGAATCGAGTTTAGGCGTATTGGGATTAGAAAACGAAGAAGGAACAAGTCGCAGAAACTGGGTATTAGGTCCGCGACGCGGACCTATTCCTCAAAAGTGTAATTTTCCCTTCGCGTCGCGGCGAGGTCACAGACTCTCTGCCTTAAAAGTTATTTCGCGACAAAAAATTAAAATATACCTCTGCGTTGCGGACTATTTTCCAGGCAGTGATTTCTTGATCATTTCTCATGTTTAGCTATTTAAAATCGTTCCTAAATATTATGAGATCTTTCCTATCACAAATCACAATCCTTGAATCCATAATTCAATTCAAGGAAAGTTAAGAGTCAAGTCAAGAGAAGTTAAGAGTCTAGTCAAGTTAAGAGAAGTTCATAAATTTTTCCAAAAGTCTTTTACAAATATTTTAACTTTGTTTTAAGACTTGAGTTTTGAGTTGAGTAAAGAGTAAAGTTTGAAGTGCATTTCTTCAAAAGAGTATATCAGAACTATGTATTCCCTAAGAGTAAATGTTTTTCATAGTTAAACAAGAAAGGAAACTGAGATTTCCAAAAGAGCCTTTGGGCTAGTTTTCAATAAAGAGTAATAGTAAAGTTCATTCTTCAAAGATTATTCGGGAACTAAGTATTCCCAAGAGTTGAAATGTTTCACTATTTGAGCAAGAAAGGAAACTGAGATTTCCAAGAGAGAGTTTTGTTTTTACAAACATATGAGCTAAGTATATTTTGGGAGTAGTATTGAGCACCGATATGGGGACGAGTTTGAGTTCAGATAACTCACGTCTCCATAAACTATGTAGCCATCATGGGTAGTAAATGATCATACTTTTTAGATGACTCCTTAAGATGCTTTTAACATAGACTAGTGGATCCACTTAGTTAAGCGTTCTATATGACGATAAAGTATAGAATAATTCTGGCAGCGTGGGCAAGACGTTGTATCACCACTTAGGCTTACAGTTGGTTGGTTTTCGGTTAGAGAATTTCCCACAGAAACTATATTACTTTATTATATGAGTAAAGTTGAGTTTTGTTATTGCATTTTCTTTAACGAACTAAGTTGTTTTCTACTGTTTTAAAGGATTTCTATCTATTGCATGTGTTTTATTGCTTTATATTGAGTTAAGTTATTCAGGAGTTGAGTAAAGCCAAGGTAATTGTTTCTTTCAGATTCTTTTCAAGCTTAAGTTATGCTTAGCTACATTCAATGTACTGATGCTAGTTGTCCTACATCTTATTATGATGCAGACGCAGGTAACCAGGATCAGCATCCAGTGCCTCAATGATCCAGTTGAGCACTCAGATTCAGTTGGTGAGTCTCCTAGCTTTCCGGAAGATCCTTTTATTGCTTTCAATATTTTTGTTCATTAGGATGTCGTGGGTCTTGTCCCGACGTCTATCTTAGTTGTTTAGAGGCTTCATATACATAGTTAGTGATGTTAGTTCATGAGTTTTTACTTTTCCTTTTCAGTTAAGTTGAGACTTGAGTTGCCACTTTGGCAGCAAATGTTATTATAGTACATTCTAAGCTATATTTTAAGCAGTTCAGTTTACTTGTTTTAAAAGTATTTATCTTGAGTAAAGTCTTCTGCTGAGTAAGTAAGCCAGGCCAAGGGTTCGTTTGGGCCAACAATGGTTCTCGAGTGCCGGCCATGTCCAGGGTGAAGGCTCGGGGCGTGACAAACTTGGTATTAGAGTACAGAATTCAAGAGTCCTAGGGAGTCTATCAAGCCGTGTTTGTAGAGTCCTAGTTATCACTGTGAATCGTGCCACATCTATAATTAGGAGGCTGC